GGGGGGGGGGGGGGGGGGGGGGGGACTTATTGGCAGGTGACAAACGCTTCATTACAAGCTTTTGTTCATTGATTCTTCATCATCATCTTGGCTTTATTTTTTTATGTGTTCAAATAATTCAAGACAGCAGTCTTTACAAAAGACATGTAGGTGTTCTGTTGCTGAGGTTTACGTTTAGTCCAGCTTATTTTAATCAGTCATGTGAGACAGTGACTTGCCTCATTTTGAATGTAGCCAGGATGCATTTAACGTAAATAACCCACAAACATAAACAAACATCAAACATTGCTCTATCGTAGTGAATCTAAGTCTCAGTTTTCTATCCACCTGTTGAGGACATGATGTGTGTTTTTTTAATTAATGCTTATTAACATGTTTCAGGTGTGATATTATAACATATAAATGACATGTCTGGTCAAGACATGTGGAAGCTCTGCTGAAGGCCTCTAAGTAAATGGAGCTTTCATGTGTTAATTTTGTTTTCTATAAGAATTAGAGAGTCACTCTGAGAGCACTCTATAAGCTACAGTTGTATTTGGGCCTAAAAAAATCCAACCCGGCCCGGGCCTGTAGGCATTTTGTCCGAGCCCGACTCGACCCGATCAAATTAACTGTAATTACAGGCCCAAACCCAAAAAAACCCAAATTTTTTTTAAATTAAGCTTTTTCTGCTTTTGTAAGAATCAATTTGACATGATGGTTTTAAAAACGTATTTCAAAGAAAGGAAGATATAAGATTTCTTGTTTCACCAAATGAATATTAACATACAAATCATATAGCCTTTACCACGTTGTGATTTGTTTTGGTCCGGTCTGTACTCTACTCTGTTTGCCATTTTAGTTAGCTTCTGCTGCTATTTGTATCTGTGTTTCTATTTTTTATGTTTTCCTGTCCGCTGTGCATGTTCGTTTTCTTTTGTACAGCACTTTGGTTGGCCTTGTTGCTGTTTTAAGTGCTCTATAAATAAATTGGTATGGTATGGTATAGCCTAAAAAAATCAACTCTAAAGATAGGCTATTATACAGATAAACAAAAATATTTTTAGAGCAAAATTATTTGGAAAAATACAGAACAAGGCTATTTTAATTGAACGCGCTGCTCGGTTCGGGTTTTGTAGCATCAGACGCTGCAACTTCCTTCACTGCAGATAACAGCATGGTGTGGAGATGCGCGCGGCCAGTGATCCATCCGGACAGTCAGCGGACCCGCGCGGCCAATGATCCGGTTGTCCATCTGAAGCTTAACGGGAATTATTTATTTTTTTTACCTCTTACAACCGGCCAGTCAGCAGATGCACACGGCTGATGATCCCATTGTCCATCTGAAGCTTAAGACTTTTTTTACGTTTTTCTTTCAACCGGCCGGTCGGACCTGAGCGTGCACCTGACTTGACACACGTCAGCAGGTTTCACTGTGCTGGGTTTGTAGAGTGAGTTCTCCTGTATTTAGCTTTTGTTTAATATTTTCCAGCTCCATTATGTTGCTTGTTGTGGGTCAATTGCAAATCCTATGTGTGATAAAAGCAAAGCAGGGTGGGCGGGGCCACATACGCAATTGTTACACAATGCGCCGGCGCTACTCTCTCTGTTCAGTCTGATTAACATCGGCACTCTATTTTATTTCTTTCTCATCCTCAACATATAAACTTACTGCCTCCTCCTCAATTAGATTAACACAATTTTATATTGTGTATTCTTATTTAGTTTTCTTGTGCTGTATAATTCGTAAAACAGCATCAAAGGCCCAAGACTGACTCGGCCCGCCCATCAAGCGCATAATTTTGTCCCGACCCAGCCCGAATTTCTGGTTTGATTCTACCTGAATTTTGGGTTGGGTCGAGGGCTCGGGCCAAAAATCGCAGCTCTACTCTAAACACCGGCATCTTGTTTTCTGCTTTAAAGATTTTTCTTCCTTTCCTGCTAGAACTAAAACTGCCTTGTTGGTATTTTTATATTCTGTTATTTTTATGTCTTGTGTGATTCCTTGTGTATGTTCCTTTATACTTATTGGGAGTGGTGGCGCAGAGGTTAGAGAAGATGGGCCTGTGATCGGAAAGTCGCAGGTTCAACTACCGTCCACATCAAAATGTGGGTGGAAAAGGTGAAACCCCCACACCTCCTCCACCCTCTTTTACCCCTCTCTGCATCCTTGAGCAAGGCCCTTAACCCCCACCATGTGCTCCCAAACAGGTCTCTCTTGAAAATGAGTTCTCGTGACTCAATGAGACCTGTATAAATAAAGGATAAATTAAAAATATATATATTTTGAAAATACTGAAACTCTGGCACAACAATTTCCTGCAGGATCAATAAAGTTTTATCTCATCTTCTACCCGTCATGCCTCAAACCTGCCTCGTCTGTACTTATAATAAGCTAATGTAATTAAAGCCCTAGCATTTCCTCAATTTCTATTGGCAAATTTTTAACAAAGATCCTGCGCAATCTCTCAGAAGAAGTGTGGGGTATCTGTTTCTGCTACCCCCACACCTAAATGTAGGTCAGGATCTGGAAACTTGACCGAGTTAAAACAGTTTTGTGTTTTTTAAGGTCAGGTTGCTGTGGCAGCGTTTTTCACTGGTTTCACTTCATAATTTAATTATTTGTAGATGTACATTTGATTATTACTTTTTGCAAATTAATTTTTTTTCCAAAGCTTGATGGAATAATTTGCCAACAGCCACATGAACACACAGGCATAACGCTGAATTCTGCCTTCACCTCCTTTAACAGGCAGTAATGAAAAATAAAACTGAACAGTAAACCTGTCTTTCTCAGCTCGCTCTGAGAGATACCATCACCTGGAGACTGAGGAAGATGACACGAATGATGAAGACTTCAGCGTGGATCTGCGGCAGTTCTCCTCTTGCTCTCATAGATTCTCTAAGGTGTGTCCCTAACCTTCCTCCTGTGTTTATTTGTCTCGTGGTAATATATGAGCATCACCAAAACCATTAGGAATGTAAATGAGCTGACAGCCTCATCTGTCCTCATCTTTTACTCCTGAAAGGAAGAACAAGTTCTTGGTGTTTCATATGGAAATCTGCGTCTGGAAACCTTAGTTTCACTCGTCCTTACCCCCACACTATTAAACATTGACTTGGGCTTTGCATACATTTTCCGCCTTTTAATCGTGTTTTCCAATGTTGTTTCACAGCAGTGCATGAAGTGCACTGTGCATGAGACTCTGTGCACGAGTCTGTACAGTCCTTCCAGCTGGGAGTGATGCTGCATTGCAGTGCTCCCCTCACGTCAAGAAAAAACATCCCTGCACGTCTCAGAAGCAGCAAGCTGTCTGTGTACATGCTGAGCTTCAGCAAATCTTTTCCATCTGCTGCAGCTAAGCTTCATGTTTCTGAGACACTTGATAACAGGCAACATAATTTCCTGCAGGATCAATAAAGTTCTATCTTGTCTTATAATGTGAATGATAGGTCCCAGTTACTGCTCAGTATGTATTTTTTCCAGAGCATTTGCTCCTGTTCTTGTTTAAATCTCAAGGTGTTGAACATTTTATAACTTAATCTTCACATATTGAAGTGAATACTTTTTGGTTGCCAGGTTTACAGCAGCCTGGATTTGTCTCGCGGACATCTGGAGGAGAAAGGAGAGATGGAAGAGAAGAAAACTGAGAGCCCACTGACTGTGGACTCCCTCAGCTGGACACCAGAATTTCCTGAAATGTACAAGTACCTCCATCTTTACATGGAATAAAGCAGATTTAATAAAAAGACAAACATTTCTTAAAAAAATGTTTTTAAACTAAACACTCCTTGTGATGAGAAGATACAGAGTTAGAGCCATTTTGGTCAAACCTTAAAATAACTTTGCGTTCAGTGTCCAGTGATACTGTAAGATGTTGCACATTCTATTAATGTTTGTTACGATGGTGACACTCTGCTGTTACAAATATCCAACTTTAGCTCAACATCAGAAAATTTGACTGCACTATAGCCATATTTGGTTTAAATAAGTTGATTGGCTACAGTAGCCATACTTAATTGCACTGATTCCAAAACTTAAAATGGTGTAGATGTACTTCCATGATGTGATTCATGATATTTTTGTAACCCTGGTTAGATTACAGCGTTTAAAAATACAGGATTCTTTGGATCTATCGGTAGTGCTAGAAAAATCCAAGGTTACCTGAACGCATCATCTGCAGCACGTGTGAGTGGGAGACAGAGATGAGAGATAAACTCCATGTTACCACAAAGCATGCTGCTTCCCAGGTTCATTCATTCAACTTTTATTTATACAGGTTGGTCTCATTGGGTCACGAGGACTCGTTTACAAGAGAGACCTGATTTAAACAAAGAACACAGATGAAGTACAGACGACAATAGACAATCATATAAAAAGCATATTAAATGAAACGTAAAAAGAAATTATATAAAAATGAAACAAAAATGGCTACATTATAAGGCGATATAAAATACTAAAAACAGGAACATGTCTGTGTTGGGTTTTGCCATGAACCATTTGTTTAAAATCACTTAGAGAGGTCAAGGTCGAGAGCTTCAGGTCATTTTGTAAGATATTCCAGGAAACAGGAGCGGAGTAGGAGAAGGCCCTTTTGCCAAGTTCAGTCCTCACTGAGGGAACACTGCAGGTAATAATGTCCTGAGAGTGCACGCTGTAGCTGCACTCACGCAGAGACATGTAGGAGGAGATGTATGAAGGCAGCAGACCAAGAAGTGATTTAAAGATAAAAATGTACCAGTGAGAGAGTCTGCGTGAAGTTAATGATGTCCAGTTAACCAGTGAATACTGGGTGCAGTGGTGGGTATGATAATCACAGCCAGTTATGAATCTTAGTGCACCATGATAGACAACATCTAACATCTGCAGGGTTCTTGTAGAAGAATTCTTGTAAATAATGTCACTGTAATCAATGGAGGGAAGGAAAGTCACAGTTACAAGGTGTTTCCTAGCATTCAGAGTTGGACAGGATCTATTTCTAAAAAAGAAACCCTGTTTTACTTTCAATTTCTTTACCAAGTTTTCGATGTGGGGCTTAAAAGAGAGACGTGAATCAACCAAGATACCCAAGTATTTGTAAGAATCAACAAACTCAATAGGAGCACCGTTTGTCGATAAGATAGAAGAAAGGACTGCTGGTACTGACTTCCTGTTTGAAAACAACATCACTTTGGTTTTATCAGCATTTAGCACCAGTTTGAGACAGAACAAATCTGACTGGATGATGCTGAATGCAGACTTTAAAAGCTGGAGAACCTTAGCAACTGTTTTAGCTCAACAATAAACAACTGTGTCATCAGCTTAGAAATGTAAGGGTGCATCAGGGATGATCTGACCTACATTACTTATGGAGATTGTGAAGAGTGTGGGTCCTAAGAATGAGCCTTGTGGTACACCATTGTTGACAGATTGCAGTTAGTTTACTTGGCACCAGTTTGAATCAAACTGGACTGATGGTGCCAAGTAAGCTAATTAAGCTAACTCACCAGAATAGCTCTAAAAGTTCCAGAAAACCTTCCGGTGGAGCCTCTTCTGCAGCCAAAAAAAAAGGTTAAATCATGTCATGTGGACCAGTTTCTTTGCAGCCCGCCCTGCATCTTCGAGGTAGGTACTTGTTTGGAGTTCACCACAACAGCAGCTCTATCAGAGTGTTCACGAAACCCTCTAATCATGTTAACCTGGTAAGCAGCATGCTTTGTGGTAACATGGAGTTTCTCCTCTCTCTTCTTCGTCTCCCACTTGCACACACTGGTGCTGTTGTAGGTGATGCGTTCAGGTAACCTCAGGTTTTTCTAGCACTACCAATACATCCAACTGGAATCCTGTATTTTTAAATACTGTAATCTAACCAGGGTTAAAATTGTCTAATAGGACAGGCAGTAAAAACTAACAGTTAATGCCATAGTTTGTTGCAAACATGTTGTGTGTTATGTAGATGTTTGTTGAGGACCATGTTCAGCAAGCACCACATCAGATTTTAGCTCAATTTCTATAAAATTGACTAAGCTATAGCCAAATCTGTGTTTTCAAAAATGTTTACTGTAGCAGCCCTATTGAACTGGGTGTACTCCAAATGTTATTTGGTTGCAGATGTACACCCATTGATTATGTATTGACAGTTTTAATACACGTCATACAATGGTTCATGAGGTGTTTTAATAATAGACCCAGAGTTGACTCCAGTAGGTAGAGGCAAAGTTTTAAAAATAGATCTTGTGTGATCAGTCAGCTCTCAAAGTACAAATTGGGGATGGCTCCCAGTTAAAACTACCACAAACTTTAGTTCACTATCTGGAAAAAATGAGTTATAGCCATTTTTGTGTTTTATAACTTTATCTTGGAGCAGCAGCTACTTGATAGGACTTGACTTAAAAAGTTAATCAGTTGTAAATACGTCCATCCAACGATTACTTTTACTAAAATCCTTCAAGTGGTTCGTAAGATGTATTACCAAAAGATGAACAGACACAGACACCTTTTCACATTCAGCAGCATACAGTAATTAAACATAAGCTAACAGAGTTTGTTCACCTCATGAGAACCTGTTGTCTCTTTGATCCAGGCCCTCGCTGTCACTATCAACAGACATGGAGAGCACAAACCAGCGTCCTCGTCCAAGTTTGTTACCAAAGTTTGCCATCTCTGCTGAGAATGAAGGTGACGACACATCAGGCCTCAGTGATCCCAGCAAGGTGTCCTTATCTGTTGGAGAGCTTCCCCAAGATGAACCTGACGCCACCACACCTGGCAGCACCCGCAGCAATGCCACGCTTTCTGGTATGAAGTAAAGAGTTGGAAAGAACTTGACTTCAGACTCACAGAACAGTCGACCTCTAATTTATGGTATTTAGTTCGAACTGAGTGAAGTTGTGAGCAGGCTTAGTTTGCAAATTACAACTAACTTAGGCCAAATGTAGTTCAGCCCAAAAGGGTCACTGGATGCTTTGTGAGTTAAGTCTAGCCAAAGATGATGGTTTCAGCCGTCTGTTACAAAGGTCAGAATGTTCCTCACTACTGAAGTGTTGGTGGTTCTATCTTCAGATTGGATCAGTAAACTTTGGCTGGATAACATTTGTCGAATACAACAGATTACTGCTGGAACTTGTATAAAACAATTACTGCAGACTTGTAGAAAAAACTTTTCAGTCTCAACTTTAAGTAATAAACAGCTTTTTTTTTTTTTTTTACTAAATTAACAAAATAAGAAACAGACAACAATAAATAACTTAACGCAGGGGAGGTGCAGGTGAATCAGATGTTTACACTAAGTTCCAGTGAAGACATGAGCAGCATCAGACTGAACAAATCTGACTTGCAGCCACTCAGGTGATGACTGTTGTCATGAGTCAGATTTTCAGAAAGATAGGTCTTAACCTTGGAAATGTTTTTGTCTTTTACACTTTCACTTCATACAGTTACTGTATATAAAAGTAAGATTACGCATCGTGACCACTGTATTGATCAAGTCGTAATAAAACACAATTAACTTTGCTAGATTGGTGCATCAAACACTTTAAATCATCTTACGGATGACAATCCTATTTACCTACCTGGAAAGAAACCATTTATGTACCAACATCCTACTATCACGTTTCATAGAAATTTAGCATTTACCACAAATTTCATTAAACCAGAATGATTTATTTTGAGTCCAAAGAGGGAAGTAGAGAGAGAAGAGAGGGAAGAATGCAAGGTCAGATGTATTGAAGAAGTCCTTTGGATGAAGGTCGAAACGTCTCCGCAACAAAAGGAACCATCCAGATGACCTGACTGAACGTTGTTGGATTTTTACCTGGATTATTGAGCAAGAACTTTGGTGTCGGATGGATTAGTTTTGACTCTGTGGAGAGTAAATATATGAAGATAATTAAAGAAAAAAACAAGTCAGTGTAAATATGTTGGCCAGGAGAAAATACCAGATATAAGATCATCATTATGAAGGCAAACTTGATACTTTCTTGGGGAAGAGTTCAAACGGGGGTAAACCAAGAGGTCAGAGGTCATAATAGTTGCATTGTGGGGCAAAAACTTTAATACACAGTATTGTGCAAAGTTTTAAACCTCCCTCCATTAAACTTTTGATGAAGACCAATTTCACAGATTACGGAAACTCTTAAAAAAACAATGAATAAAAAATAAAATAATGAATTATGATTTTTGCACAGTACTGTATTGTTTTTCTACAAAATGTCTCTCAATATAACACTGTACAACATTAATTCAATTCAATTCAAAAATAATTTATTAATCCCAGAGGGAAATTATTTGTTGTTGTAACTTGTTATCCTCATTTCATTAAGAGATGTTATAAATGCTGATGGCTGATGGCTTTGTAAATATAAATAAATAAAACTCGGTAGTTTCAAAGTCATAAAATAACAACAAAAAAGACCTTCAGTTGTACAAAACAGGACAAACGTGTTGTTTAAATTAGAATTGCTCTTTTTGTAAAAAAATTTTTTAAACATTTCTTTATTAGGATTGACAATTGTAATTTAGTGTTCTCTGTGTTAGAATATTTGTGCATTTATTTATTTATATATTTATGGCTGTTTTCCACTGTATAAATATATCAACAGTCCAGTAACCTCACCACAACACATCCTGATGCATGCTCAATAATCCAGGTACCGTGTTTTCTGCCGTACACGTTGCACCACCGTAAAAGACGCATCAGTCCAAATATGTCTAATAAAGTGGGAAAATATATAAATACATTGCTTTGCCGTATACATCATGCCTATTATGCTTCACCGCTGATGCATCACATTTGTTAGGCGTCACTGCTGACAACCCGGAAATGTGGGCCAAAAATTGATTGGCTGCCAAATGGCGGCCGCGAGAGCGTGCACGGGAGGACTTTAACAAGAATTTAACAAGATTAACACTTAAAAACAATTATTTGTTAGCACAGCATGTCAAGTCCAAGACTTGACAACAAAACAAGGTTAACTTACTAATAACTCATCAACACCATCACAATTCCAATAACACATTCAGTGTAGGACAACACTCCAGTAGACAGTTACTGTACATGCCAGGGCAACTGAAAAGTGGGTGAAGAATTTATCTGACAGAAGCTCACCCAGCCGGAGACAGAGATTCTTGTCAGGGGACTGAACTTTGCAGTTGCACCAAGTAGCATTCCTCTGGTGGAGATGATCACAGCCACAGAATCAGCCATCCATGCCGAAAGATGGACGGAGTGCACGAAGCTGCAACTACAGGAGAGCGCGGCCATTTTATCCTTATCAGATAATAATCTTCGATAGGAAAAGGGGGAGAAACATGAGGGTAAATAGTGGTATTACAAAAAAGATCTTTCACATCTTGTCTATCAGGACACGATTTGAGACATCAAAAAACTCTACCAGCAGCACAATTAAAACATGATTACATTTGCATTTGACATCGAGGTGTTGAGATTTGTCCATGAGCTTTTTTCAGATCAGCCACAGTTTCTGAAGATGTTGTTCCAGCCAGCAGTTCTGATAAGCTTGCACAGAAAGTTCTCGGGGGAGGGGGGGTGCGCGATAGATGAAGCTTTTGTCCTTGGGTACTCATGTCCCAGGAGAAATTTGATAGTCAGCCTGTCTCCGAGGCCGTTGGGAGTCTGATTCAGATAAGCTTGATTTTTGTTTTTTCTTCAGGCAGACAGATTTTTTTCTTTCAGCCTTGAGTCCATCTGGGCGTTCTGGTTCCGAAAAAGCCTAATTGTGGGATTCCATTCCACTGATCCATGCTATGAGTCTCCTTCAAGGTCGAACCCACCACGCTGACAAGTCCCAGAAGCCGTAGGTGGTCTGCGATTCTCGATCGCCTCCACCTTACGGTTAAGCTCGTAGACCAGACGATTCAAAGTTCCCACAGCGAGGACCAGACCTTCACACTGACTCTGAAGCTTTTCCATGGCCAAAACTGCTGCCGATGTCTTTTTCAAAAGTCAATAAAACAGAGCCCCGCCGATGCCAAAAAGCAGAGTCCCTGCTATCACAAGTCCAAATATGTAAACGTCTTCAACATCCTCCTGAGACAGGACTGTAATGCACATCAATTGCCACACTCCCCACAAATCCATGACGTACCCCACAGCGTGAGTCTCAGCTGGACATGCCGGTTCTCCAGGACCTTGTCGCTTTGATGAAAAAATCTTATCAATAGAGTTGAACGCCCACGATACCAAATCCATAATCTTCTTAATTTATGTTCGGGAGATGAGACCCAGGTGCTTCAGACACACAGAGAGCAGAGCAGGAAGAAGAAAAAAAACGGGGCAGGAGAAACAGAAGCTGCCACCTCGATCAGAGCCTGAGAGGAAAGCTGCACATTTCTTAGAAATTTAACAAGATAAGCACCTAAAATAATTATTTGTTTGCTCGACATTATAGCAAAAGTGTGTCTCAGTTGAACTTTTACTCAATAAATGCACTTTAATGGTCAAATTAGCTTCATTTTGCTGGGGCGGTGCAGCAAAATGAAGCTAATTTGACGTTTGCTCCAGGCAAGCTGGACGAAGGTGGGGGTACTATGGCAAGGTGATTGTGTCATTAATAGCTGGTGAAAATTCTCAGTCATCCAGGACATGGTAAATTCAAAAAAGTTCAAGACAAAAATAATAAAGTATAATAAGTAAAGTCCAGTTGTTTTTGGCTTGAACTTTTTTGAATTTGTCATTATAGCCACGTTTACCTATTACATGATACAACGGCATGTCCTACTACTCTTCTGCCATCTAGTGGTTGAAAATTGTAGTGTTCAACTTTTTTTGGTCAGAATGAATGGAAATGGTCATATCTCAGCCAAAAAATGGTTTATAAATATGGAAAAAAATTCCATAAATGTGTCGCTTTGGCCTATAAGTCGCAGGACATGCAAATTATGCAAAAAAACGTGACTTATAGGCCAAAAAAATACGGTAGCTAAATCTACCAAGATTAAGCCGGCTGAGTGGTTAGAGCAGCCGTCCTCCAAGTTGGGGGTTCGACTCCACCAGCAGTCACATGTTGAAGTGTCCCTCGACAAGACACTGAACCCCTCATTGCCTCTGATGTGTGTTCCATCAGTGTATGAAGTTTCTTCATTTTCCTACCCGATTGTTTAGCAGTAATTGTGAGCCTAACTCCTGCACATCTTTTATAATAACTAGGAAGTTTCTCTGACCATCTGGACCAGCTGACGTGCAGAGGTGAGGGTGCAGAGATCCCCGACAATAACAGTCACTCCTCCACCTACCAGGAGCCTCAGCCAATGTCTCTGCGACCAGAGAACGCTGTAGAGAAGACTGAAGCTGTGGCAAAAGTCTCTAAATCTGTTTCAACTGGAGCCCTTTCTTTAATGATTCCAGGGGGTATGTCCATCAGCAAAATAACAACACAATCATATGTTTAACCTCTTATAAAATGTTGTTCCTTCAAAGTACTTTGTCTGATTTATGAGTAATTGAATAACTCAAAGACAGCACTTTATGTATCTGATCAGATTTGTCCCATTGTGACACCTCCAGTTCCATTTTACAGTTTGACAGTAAGCACCAAAGTAGTCCAAACTACTAACAACAGCTATAGGTACATTTGTAGCAAAAAGTCTGTACTCTTGGGAGAGAAAATCTGATTACTTTCACAGCATCTACTCAGTCTTTGCTTCAGAACCAGGTTAGCTCTTGATTAATAAAAATAATCTGCTCAAGTGGTGATTGTTTTTATTTTCCCAGATGTTTTGGGGGCATCTCCTCTGGCCAGCCCGTTGTCTCCTCACTCCTTCTCCTCAGACCCATCCTCGAGGGACTCTTCTCCAAGCAGAGACTTTTCTCTCTGCGGTGCCAACCCACGGCAGCCCGTTGTCATCCACAGCTCCGGGAAAAAGTTTGGCTTCACATTGAGGGCGATCCGTGTGTACGCTTGTGACAGTGACATCTATACCGTCTATCACATGGTCTGGGTAAGGAGGTGACAAACAAAACAAACATTAAAATTAAATCAATAAATCCATTATTTCACTATACTATGTTGGAAACGCATAATA